ATCACTCCGACATACCATATTGATGATCTGACCGGCTGTGGGCCTAGTAGAATTAGAGCCATATTCCCATCGTCGGACATAAAATTATATAATCCGACATACGAGAAATATAAAATTGGACCCCTTCTTGATTTGGAACCGACACCCTCCAATCCCAGGGCGGGGTTTATTGGAGTTGGAGCCGTTCTATCGATGTAATGATAACATGGATTGCGTATTATTACAAAGTGCGACAGACTTTTTTTTTTCTCTTTTGTGGGGATTTCACCCACCTTTATTTCTTTCTGTTTTTGTTATTTTTTACATTTTTTTGTCATCAACGACATAAAAAATATCAAGAATCAAGGAAATTAAAATTAAATTGCACAGGATATGGGGGTCAGTCCACCATGGCTGACTAAATTGTTCAACTTCGGTTTTACCTGCATTATCATTTACGTTAACATTCTAAATTAAATCATTATCTCAAAAACAATTTTTGAAAAGGTGCATCCATTCAGAATTGTGTATACGATTTAGAACACATACAATGTGCAGATCCTTCCATATACATATACATATATATGTATACATACGCACCTTATTATCATACACACATAAACATTTAATATTTAATTTTTTTTTCTTAAATTAATTTTTTTTTCGAAATAACACCATATAAATTTCTCATATACATTTTAAGTTTAATACATTTACCTACACACATACAGTAGTACAAGGTCAGGTAATGATGCTGACCAATAATGTTTCTTTATAATGCAATTATTATTATTTGCATACATCTATATAAATACACATATACAAAAACACTCACATACATATACTCATGTACATATACATAAGATGTGTATAAGAGACAGGGGGTCTTATTGGAGGGCCTTTTCCCCCACTGTTAGAACGCTCATGACTTTGTGGAAAGAACTTTGGTGGGGGAGATGGACTAGGTCTTCCTCTGTTACTATCTGGCACTGAGGGAGGTATTCTCATTGGAGGAGTAGGACTAGGAGTAAGTCTATCCACATTACTGTTTGAAAGCCCTGGTGCAGATGGAGGTGGCCTACAAGGGGGCGTGGGACTTGGAGTTGATATTCTACGAGGACTATTTGAATGAGGATGGGAAAAAGGGGATGTTGGTGATGGGGGTAATCTATTTGGAGGTGTAGGACTGACCCTATGGTTTAATGTGTTAATAGGCTTGAATGTATTTGGTGCTGGAGCAGTTCTTGTAGGCGGTTGTAATGAATGCCTCTTCTGACCTGGAGATGGTAAATCAAGAATCTTTTCTTCCTTTGGTTTACTCAATTTCTGTAATTTAGATGGCAGTAAAATATGTTTATACTTTAATGTTTATTGGCAAATTCATAAAAATTGTTTACTTTTGAGCTAGAAAAAGGCCAAAGTAAATTTGTTGTGTTGCCAAAGCACACTTGGGGCCCGTTCGAGTGAAAAAATATCCGTGCGATTTACCAGTTAATTCACCGGTACACACTTTCTAAAACTGCTTGGACAGAGAGGGATAAAAAGTTATTAGCGACCAAAATAAATCTTATGTCATTAATGCTATGGTTAGGTAGATTGAAGTGACAGGCTACTGGGAAACCAGTGGAGTTGTCTCTGATGGTTTTTTTGTGATTATTTAAATCGGAGGCGGAATTTAGTGCCAGTCTCTCCAATGTAATTACCAATTTGACATTTGTTACAAAATAAAATGTAAATAACGTTAGAAGAATCACAAGTAAGTGATAGTATAGTATTATACTAATAATAATAGTATTATTAGTACTAGGAATAGTGAATGTGTCAGAGGTGCACATGAAATTGCAAACTTGACATCTGGGTTTACTACATTTAACGTTACAAGAAGAGTGGGAATTCTTATGGAGTTTAGAGGATGAGAGAATAGATTTCAAATTAGGGGGTTGTCTTTTGGCTAGTAGGGGAGGGTTTTCAAAAAGGTGGCAAATAGATTTATCTTTATTGAGAATTTTATAGTCAGTTTTAAGTTGGCGGGTAAGAGAACTTATATTGGGATGGTAGTCGAAGACGAGAGGATTTCGGTTATTAGTAATATCTTTGGGTTTATAATCTAGAAGGGATTGTCGGGGACGGGTTGAGGCTTTAGAAATAGCTGATAGTATTAGTTTAAGGGGATAATCATTATTAAGAAAATGGCTAGTAAGTATGCCAATTTGTTTGTCATATTCATCCGAAGATGAGCAAATTCGTTTAATTCGTAGACACTGACTATAGACAATAGATTTTTTAAGGCTTAAAGGGTGGGAGCTGTGAAAGTTCAGAAATTCATGGTTATCAGTAGGTTTAGTGTATAAAGAGGATGTGATTATGTTGTTAGTAGAGATGCCTACAAGAACGTCTAAAATGGAATTTTGGAAGGCGAAGTTTCAAAAGTAAATTTAATGTTAGAATGGAAGTTTTTAGCATGTGATTTAAAAGCATTGAGGGTATCTTCACCGTGGGGCCAAATGAAGAAAACATCATCAATATAGCGAGCGTAGTGAAGGGGTTTAAGGTGAAAGGATGAAATAATTGCCGTCTCAATCTCGTGCATAAAAACATTAGCATAGCTAGGAGCCATTTTCGTGCCCATAGCGGTCCCCTTAATTTGAAGATAGTGACTGTTGTTAAAAGTGAAATGGTTATGCGTAAGAATGAATTTAGTAATGGCAATGATATCATTAATATGTTCGGCTGGCACACATTGTTTAGAAAGGAAATTATTAGGTGCTTGAATACCTTCTTCGTGAGGGATGTTAGTATAGAGCGAAGTGACGTCCATAGTGACTAGGATAGATTGGTTAGGTATATTATTATCAAGGATTCTAAGAAAGTGCGTAGTGTCTTGGATGTAGCTAGAGATATTAGGGAGTAAGGGGTTGATGATGGAATCAACAAGGCCAGACAGATTTTCAGTGAGGGTACCTATGCAGGAAACGATCGGTCTACCAGGGGGAATGATATTGAGCTGTTTGGATAAATTAAAAATTTCAATAGGCTTAAGTGTGCTGACATTGTAGTGAGTATTAGACAGTGATTTTAATTTATTATCAATAAGTTTAGGCAGTTTGTGGATTTTCGGGAGGGTATAAAACAAGCCAGGCTTGGGATTAGATGGGATAAGATTAACAATATCAGATTGATTATAAAATTCTAATTCATTGATAAAAACACTAAGATCGTCTCTATACATAATGGTAGGATCAGCAGTGAGAAGTTTATAAAATTCCTGGTTTCCAAGTTGAGACTCCTTTTTATAGTCAAATTATTTTTTTATACATTTTACGTAATTTATTCATTCAAGCGTCGTATAATGTACAATTTCTATTATCTTGGTTGCTGTACATTTTTTCTGCTCCATCAGTTCGTCAAACTTCGATACCTTTCCACAATGAACCCAAGCAGGAACCACAATACCACTATATAGGTTACGCAACAGACAAACTCCATGAAATATTTGACAGATGCGATGAAAGTTCTTCTCTCTTCTTTAAGTATCGACAGCCTGTTTTCAAGGAATTCGTCATTCTTCTTCACCGCTACGCCCAAGCTTTTTTCAAGTATTCCTATATATTCTTTTTTCTCCTCCATCTGCATCTGCAGATTTCTTATCCGTTCGTCGTCCGCCATCGATTTCTACAGTACGACGTCAACAGTCAGTGTGAACTCCACTAGTATCGCTCTTTAAGTAGAATATGACGGTATGTATGTCGAAAGGCAGCCGAGCTAGAACTACGGTTACATAAAAAGAAATTGAAACGAAAAAACACGAAGTACCGAGAATGTAACTTATTTTATTTTATTTTTTTCGTGACCACCTCCTCGATGTCGGTGCCTTCGAGCCTGCATATCTTCGTCCGCTTTCGGGATTCCACCGAGTTCATCGATGACAACTTCGTCTTACTCAACTTGTTCAGCTCGTCGGAAACAAACCGTTCGCATTCGGGAGACAGCATTTCGTCCTCGAGGTGTTTCGAAATGATCAGTCTTGGCGTTCTCTTTCCTCTCTTTATTACTTTCTTTTCGGAGGATGACGTAGTGATGTCGTCATGTGTACTTGGAATCGTTTTTCACCTCTTCGCGACGTACATCAGGAACACCAAGTCTTTGATGTCGTCGGGATCGATGACTTTCGATCGTCTGACCGCATCCAGTTCCTCTTTCCGTTCGGTGCGCACGGTCAGCAGCAGGGATAGCTCGTACGAGAAGATCCAGCAGGCGACGGTCACCCACCAGTAGGCGGCGAACGGCAGCAGCGAGACGAACGACTGCAGAGGCGCCACGTGAAAGAAGAGGCCGGCGACGGCCACGCACGCGCGAGACGCCGGCGACGCCTCGGCGAGGACGGCGGCAGGAACCACGACGGACGCGATCAAAATCAGAGTTCGAATTCAGAGCTTCCGTTTCGGCGGCTCAGAGTACGCCCATTCCAAGTACATGGCGGACAGCTGGCACGTGAGCACCCTTCTCGCGCTCGACCGACTGGCGCGGCAACGTCGTCCCGGACACCTTGCCTCGGTAGCCGAGAACTCGCACGTACGTCTCGAAGTCGGGAGGCGCCGGTCTGCTTTACGAGAGGACGCTGTCACGGCGGTTTCATACGCACTATATTGGGACAATAAGTGTTTTCAACGCGCCTTTCATATATTTACGCACCGCAAGCCTCGAACGAACACACTCATATCGCGATTGGGATCGTGCGAGCCAGGCGGAACTGCATTTTTTGGTACATAGTAGAATTGTGCTAAAAATAATATATGAGTATAATATCCCCCCATCCATGTTCTGTTTGTCTAATTATTATATCAGCTACTAAACAAAATTTTTGCAATGCATGAATTTATATAAAAATCATGAATTTTAACGAGAAAAGTAAGGCCGGTCTACAGTAAAAATGTAAACAAACAACGCCCTCCGTAATGTTAATATCGCTAAATATAGTCGTCATTATCGTCGTTGTACAAAATTGTGCAATTTTTCTGGATGTTATCGTTGGTCGCCAATGAACAATCAGTGTCTGTTCTTGTATTCTGTGAAATATTGGCCGGACAACTTTTTCCAATTTAAAAAAAATTTCGATTGAAAACAGCAAATATTTTGGCTTTACAAGGCGTTCTTGACAACTCCACGGGCTCATACGCGCAATTTTACGCGTTGGTTATACATGCGCTAGGCCTAGATTGAGGCCTAGATTTTATTCGGGTTTTGGATAGGCTTTGCTGCCTTAATGTTGTTAAATGTTAAAAGTATAATTGTATAATATATATATTATTTTCATTCAGCTAATATATAATAAATACAGGCTTGCATTGAATAACATTTTATATTTTGATGGCAATAATTAGGATGGCTCTAAAAAAAAGAAAATTTAAAATATAAATAAATGTAAACAATGATCTAATATTTATCTGTGAAAAAAGCCAGTATCATTTACAATCATCATTCTTCTTACACTTCAGTTTACAAATAGACACAAACATTATGTTCTACATGTTATATTTTTAATGAACAAAATAAGCCTTTAAAAATACAAGAATCCAAATTAAACCGAAAGGTCCACTGATTAATCTCGGATACAGATAGAATAATACATACTCAAAGTTTAGGGATTCAATACTTTGATATTAATTATGTCATCATCAGAAATCCAAATTAAAGGTATGCAATCAGCTTAATACTAACAGTTATTTTTGTACAAATTGCTATTGCACTTTGTAAGTAGAAAATTCAATATATTCACACTATATTATAGTACTGCACAACAAAATATGTTATTGCGCTTTGTGTTAATACGTGCAGTAATTAGTGTGTAAATTTATTTTCACAAAAAGGGTATGGGGTTTTGAACAATCTGTTCTCAATAGTAAGTTGATTCAGAGAAAATATAAATTTCCCATCATCTGAAAGTCCCAGGTCTCTTCAAAAATACAAACAAAAATGCTAAACAAAACTGTCTGTAACAGCAGGAATGCAGAGACAAAATGACGAGTCAATCTATTTCCATGTAGCTTGCATATCGATTAAAACCGGATAGATGTAAACATATCTCACCATAGTATCTGATTTTCATCCTGCGTCGTAACAATTAAAGAAGCTGAAAAGATAAATATAAATATATTTTAATTAGGCAATACATAACAATATAATTCATTCTAGGCAATGGAAAGTAAAACATTTTAAGTGTTAATTATATTGTGCGCTCACTTTTCGATGTGGTACAAATGGCTTATAAAGCATTATTGTGATGATACATAATTAAAAAAAAACATTGTACAGAAGTAGAATAATTTTTAATTATTTAAAATACTTTAATATCTGTCTTAGTATCATTTTTTTCTGCTGCTCTCCATGAACACCATCCAGCTGCTCTTTCCTTTATGTTCAAATTGATTATCTCCATGATGTATTTTGTCAGCTCGCTTGTATCTTGTTTAAAATTAAAAATAAAAAGTTATTATTGCCATTTTTTTTCATTAAACAATTATGTCAGAACATCAGACATTAATAATACCACCAAACTTCAGATACTAAAAAAGAAATTTCAAATTATAATAATAATAATAATAATAATAATAATAATAATAATAATAAAATAATAAAATATTTTTAGACATTTTCAAATTACAAGATAACTGTTTTTATAAAACTTGGGGTCTGAATAATCTTAAAAATATGTCTATAGCGAAGAGACTAGGCCTAGCGTAGGCCTACTTTCACGTGAGAGCATACCGCGTATACTTAAAATTTAAAAACCCTCCGGGCCAAACATTGTTTACTTTCACCTAAGCCCAGGCGGCAGCTTACCCTCCCGTAGCGTAGGCTATTTTTGGGAAGACTGCTAGAAACATTTGAATTATATTTTAAAAATATAATGTGTTATTTATTACGCCATAAACGTCTAAAGGGTAGACATGCTAGGCCTGCCTAGTCATTTTTAAACTTAAATAAAATTTTTACCGGAACAGTTGTCAGAGAGATTTTTTAGAGGATAATGCAGAAGTCAAATAGTAATAACATGGAGCAA